TGTGCACTAAACAACGATTAGGGCATTTTCCAAAGTATCCAAATCAATAATATTGTTATTTGATTTACTCAAAGAATAATGATAATAATATCATTGTGACACTTGAATACAATATTTAAGCGTAGTGGTTATATTCAAATGAGTTGTGCTTATATGTGTTATAAGCCAGTTACTGTGTTTTATATGTGGATTCGTATCCAACCAACAAAATTGTTAGTAAGCAAAGATGGATACTGGCTAGCACTGGATGCACATATGCCAACAAGAGACTGACCAGTTGCAGTCCTTAACATCAACCGGAAGATTCAAACTAACAATATTAAGGGAATTATCACGAATCCGTTTTGAATCCCTTTTGGTTGAACAAATCAATCCAGTTGATTAGATCAGTGTATTAAAGTAGTTGGAAATTTAGCAATGGATAGTTTACTGGTGCAGTCAATTATTTTGCAGAAGAAATTGAAATGAATTTCAAATAAGACCTGTAACTTTTTGCTAAAATCTACCCATGGATTTAATGAGCTTGGTAACATTTCGATAAAGGGCTATACTAAACGTCTGTATTACCGTTAGCCTGATTGACCAATGATTCTTTAGCTGCAGTTTCAATTTAGCCACTAACAAGTGATGATCTGAAGCTACAGTAGCTCCTCTCTTTGTTTTCACGTCTTCCACAGACGTTATGAGTTTTTTATTGATGATCGACCTGGTTCTCTGTATTGTGGTGCTGTGAAACTATGTAGCTTTGTATATGCACTTGTGAAAAAAACAGTACCACTTATATCCATTTATTGAAAGCATATAAATTTGTCAGTCTCATTATTTTCGTTCCATTCTCCCTATCCATGTTGCGTTATGTCTTTTAGCAAAGTGTTACCCATCCCAATCTTGGTGTCTTGATCTCCCATTGTGGTGATCAAGTCTGATCTTGGACCCTTCTGTAGAATGAAATACAGGCTCTTATAAAACTGGTTTTTACTATCATTCCTGATATTTGTCATGAACTTTGAGTTAATCTGTAGGTGGGATTTATTTACAATTTATAATGTACGAGAACACAGGTAGGGACAATCAACGTAAAATATGAAAGACATACATTCAATACATCATTTGCAAATTTCTATCATTTGTCTTTCACATTCTATATTATGGTTGTGAGCTTCATATGTTCTTCAACTGTAGGAATGCCTCCCTCACTTTGTCAACCCTTGTATTTATATCTGCATCAGATCCTTCTTGTTGACTGATGATGCTACTCAGGTACGTGGCAGTTTCCATATCTTCCAGAGGTTTTCCATCGAGTGTTTGCGAATGAGTAAATTTAATGAATCTTTATCTGCTACGTAAACATGTAACCGATAAATTTTAATGATTGTGACAGTAATATAAATAGTAAATATAAACATTAAACTGTTAAAAGTTTCAGAGAACTCAACACTAAAATGAATAAAAACAATTTTATTTAATTATGTTTGATCTATGAATGAATACTAGCATCTGACTGAGTTGAATGCCCTGGTATGTCAGAGAGTGAGAAGAGTTAACTCCCCCTCTCAAAATTCTCCCACATGGGCACGCGTACAGAGCCAGTGAAAGGGAAATTCTATTCATTGCCTTTTCGCAAAATCGCTGTTGTTTACAAAATTGAAAAGATGATAAGCCAGTGTTTGGCTCTGGGTGTGGCCCCCTAAGTAAACCACCTGCTTCGATCTTGGCACCCGTGCAGTATCACAGCCTTCATACAAATCAAGTGACATGTGTGACACAAATGTATTCGGTGCCCCTTTCCACCGATGTTTATGTGTTTAAATAAGTAAAATAATATAGAATTCATTGGATAATTCAGTTAGTTTAAACTGAGGTTTTTTTCTAATTTACTAATATTTTTTTCGTAACCATGGAAATGATAGAGGGGGAGGATTTTTCTCTTTTATGATAATGAATTAAAGTTTATGAAAGATGAAAATATGTCTATAAATTGGTACAGATTTAACGAATGGTTAATTTGATTTGTGTGAAGAAGTTATAAGAGTTTTGAATCAAGATAAACTGAAGTAATCGAATGTAGATAATAATAAATCGCAGTCGTATTATAGCAAACAGAACACTAGTTGAGGACAATCGAATGTAATTAGATACACATTACAGACTATCTCACTAAATTCTGATAATCATATAACAAACAGTTAATTTACAAAATAACCATCAATTGTTTCAATCTTAACTGTTCCTTCTTCAAATATCATTCCGTCTTCTCTGATTCCATTGTTCATGCATTTTCATACTGACTGCGCTTCCTTCCTGTTGTTTCCCTATTGATCTTCTGACAAAATACATTCTATGTCTGAGCATCATCATATACTACTTATGTGGATGTAAGTAGACCACACCACAGCATTAATTCATTCATATTAAACACTGATTCCTTTTTTTCAGATTGTCATATAGCATTGTTACTGTTTTCCTCAACTGTGTTTTGTCTTTACTAGTTTTTTCTTTCACTTATTCATTCCACTCATCTCAGGAACGAGGCTTTAAAACTCAGTGGTCAGTTAGAGGGAAAATAATTATTTTTACTGGTTTCAAACCGTTGTCCAACAGTATATTTATTGGATTTTTTTATTTGAAATAAAATTACATACGTTAAGGTATGAGTAATGGTGTGGTGTGTGTTCCAGACGTCGGCAGATAAGTATTATGTATCACCAGTAGAAAGTAAAATACCTGGTGGCGGAAGGTTAAAAACATCAAACAGAAGAGAACGAGAACGGAGAATGATTGCTGTGGAAACAAAAGAACAACGAAGTCCGGGACGATTGATTGACATTTTGCAAATGAATCATTTACTGTATGGTTCTTAGATTTTAATAAGATGTTCTGTAATTTCGTAATTTCGTTCCCACTTGAGTTCTTGTTCACTACAATGGTATGTCCATGAAAAGACTAGTCAAATCATAATTGAGATTGAATTATGTTCGTTTATAAACTTTTCAGTTATCATGAAGATGCCTAGAGCAGTTTCATAGAAGGTGTTCCTCAGTCATAATCAATTATAATAAGTATATCTGCAATCATATTTAGAACTAGAATACATTCAGAAGGTAATTTCCCAGATTTATGTGGGCTTTTCCAAGTTATAGCGTGATGTGGGTTACTTATATCCATATAAGAAGTGTATGATGATGGTCAAATATAGAATGTATTTTGGCAGAAGATCGATTAGGAAAGAACAGAAATGAATCGCAATCGGCATTAAAATGCATGAACAACGAAATCAGAGAAGATGAACCGATGATATTTACAAAAGGAACAGTGAAGATTAAAACAATTGAATGTTGTTTTGCAAAAGAACTGTTTACTGTATGGTTATCAGATTTTAGTAAGATAGTTTGTAATTAGTGCTCAAAGAAATTTGATTTTCCCCACTCCTGTACTTTTTCACTTCATTAGCATACCAGACTTGTGAATTCGTTTAACTAGATTTAGATGGTTATTAATAAATCTCAATATCAGTGCTGAATTCATGTTTTACTTGTGAGTAGTGACTCATAAATTTTCCAAACAATTATATTACTTTTCTTTAATCGTTGAGATCATGAGTTAATTGAAGCTAGACCACCACGGATAACCTGAAATCACTGTACAATCGTTTTGTCCTACTATGGGACTCCTCAGAAGTGCGCATCCACAATCTCACCTCACGAGATTCCAACCCGAGGACCTATCGGTCTCCTGTTGAAATTATATTACTATTGATTCCAGTAATCAGTTTCACTTATGTCTTCGGTTCTGTTATCGATATATTTCATTTACATTGCGATCAGAAATGTGAATCTTCAGTAAATAAAGTGCTTATGAACGCTGATAGTTGGGCCACTGATTTACTATGAAACTTTTGAAACAGGTTTTGTATATTTTGTACTCATGAATTTCTTTGTTTACACTATTCCGAAATGGGACGTAACTTCACTTTAGTTCATCCGTGAAATATGCATTAAAACAAGAAAGATTGGTTCCGTGAAAAGTTCTTTTTCCCTAAGAATTTCTTTTTCAAAGCTACATGTTTGCAAATGTGTGCTTATTTTTCGAAATGATAATAATCACAATAGTGATATAGCAACTCTACTACAATTAATTTTGATTATGGTTACATTCCGGTTAAGCCCTTTTATTAACTGAGTTAACTGATAATGTTATTCGGATAGTAATAATTCTCATGTTTCCTTGTACTATTATGGTCATTATCTTGGCTGTATAAACGTGTGTCGCATGTAACACCTTATCTACATATCTCTGTCTAGTTAAAATGTCAATATCTTAAATATCGTTTGATTTGTCACTATCTTCCCCATGTATATATTTACTGGAGTCCTATTATTAACCTTTGCTTTGCCTAGAAAACAGCAAGATGCATCAATACAAACTCATCATAGGCTCACTAGTGAATGACTTCAAGAGATATTTCCTGGAGTTCTAGTGGGAAGCAGTGACCATTGGAGTTCAACCACGTCTGTTGTTGGGATATCAACTCACTGAAGACCATTGGTGAACGGCTGCTCAGATTTCGTGGATTAGTTGAAGTTATACATTAACATCCTTGGATGCTGGGCGGCTCAGTGGTCTATCGGTTAAGTGCTCTGGCGCGGGACTGATAGGTCCTAAGTTCGAATCTTTTGAGGCGAGGTCGTGGATGCTCTCACAATAGGACAAAACGGCCGTACAGTGCTTCGAGGTTTTCCCTGATGGTCTCGCTTCAATTGACTCATGATTTCAACTATGTAAAACTCATAATACTATTTTAAAGTCACATTTGGTAATATCAAAGATATCTTGAATCAGTGAGTTGAATACTTTAGTACCATAAACCCAAATACAAGTTAATGTAACAAATTTAACAGAAAAGTGACGTAATCATACATCGAATTCATCCATTTACAAAAAACATAAACAAGGGGTGTTTAACCCATAGAATTATTAATCAATTTAAAAGAGAGAAAATACTTCAAAACATGTAACATTATATATGATCCTGTTGTTATGGTTACATTAAAGTAGTAATCCACTTCAATAATGTTTACATAAAAATAATCGTGACAAAATTTACTTACAAATAAATTACATGGAATAATAAAAAGAAGAAATGTAAAACAGAAAATGTTTCATTCAATATGGATAGATCACCATCTGAATAACAAGGAACTATCGGTTATCTATAGAATGTATGTCTACACACCCTTTGTCATTATATTCAAATCAATACTGATCAAATGAAGTAAAATAGAGATAAATTAGAATGTTGTTTTCTCTCTTCCAAGTTGATTAGATACAAGTTGCACTTCGCTTCAGTTTGTTTTTATATTCTCCACTTGAAACACTGTTGCTATGACTTTTATTCTCTATACTTTTGTTACGTCTAATATTTGATCTTTCAGTGGTTGCTAAACGATAAGTAAATTCAATAAGTTCAACAATGAATGCTGCAGTTAATCCGATACTTAATGAACATAAACCACCAATACGACTAAGTAGAACACTAATGCTTAATACTAATTTCTCTTGACTAACACGTACATCACTAGCACGACGTTTAAGTACAACATAAGCAAAATTATCACCTTGAAGATTGAGATCATTGATTGCATTCACAGAAATCTGAAGAGAAAATAATAGAAAATAACAAATAGATAATCTATTAAACAAGTATATCAATGAATAATTTTGTACCTATCATGAAATACACCAAAAATTTCTAAAGACATAAGTGTTATGCATTTTCGAAATTAAAATATACAATTAAGATGGTGGTTGGAGTTGATCATCAGGAAACCCTGGCTCAGGATTTCATGCTATTTGGCACTCATCAGCAAGGTGTACCTGTAATCTTTACGGAACTGGCGCCCTCTGACGGATTCGATCCCGTGTCACCCAGCTTCACAGTCAGAGATGTTACCACTGGGCAATTCGGGCAGCGACCGATTACTTGTAGGACTGAAATGTAATCAGAATTGATTGATCACCGGGTGGTGATCAAAGGAGTACTGGAAATCTACAAGTTAACAATAAAATAATTTAATTGTGAAAGTCATTTTCTACCGCCTAAAATGTAAATATAAAAGTTTGTTCTTATTAAATTCGGTCAATATCCACTTTCTACTACCATTATTGTCAAATACTTGTAACCGGCGAATTTTCTAGGGCGATAGAATCATAACTAAATAAACTGTACAACTATATTCAGAGGATAAGTTATACCTCAAACATTGAAATCTGCATCAAATGAAATAATCACTTATGTGTTTCATTCTTCTAAAGCTTTATATTAACCGTCATCCTCTAATTTACTTCTGATAAAACTAATTATTCATCTTCCTCAATGAAGTACCGGTCAGATATTCTGTGTGAAAATGTTACAGTGTCGTATGAAATCGTTAGTGGAAATTCATCAGGTTAATAAACGGTGAAACATAATAGAGTCTTTATCATTGAGATTTAAAAGAGTCTGATAGTGATCTCTCAGATATTCATTTAATTAGGATTGTTACACATTACTGTATGAGAAAATGAACTACAGTAAACTTTATTATTCACATTGCTTATATTTGCATTGATGCATGTTTCGAAAAAGAAAGTTGGATCAACTGAGAGACCATCATCGCCAGGAATAACACAGGCCACCAAACCTCCTGTCTCATGCAAACTGAAACTGGTCGTTTAGTCTCTATAATGGTTATCATTCAGGGTAAATAATTCCTTAAAACTGATTCCACTTCACCGTGAAGAGTACTTAACCACCAATATCTAGATAATTATTATGGCATGTTACCACTGTTACTACTTTCGTTGAAAGAGTAGGCTTCGTAATGTAACAAAGTGCTATTTTGCAATAAACGTAGAGCATAGTTGGTAGTCCTACGTGTATGTATTGGTGTACATATTAGTTACAATTAAATAATTGTTATACAAAAGATCTCGAAAACCAATAGCTTACTGATTCGAATGTTTTTCAATATAATCCGTTACTGATATTGGGATCTCATAAAAACCTAAGTTAGCTGCTATGAAGGCATGTGTTACTGTATCTAGTCAAAACCATTCATCCATTTGCCAAATCCTTTTCATTCAGTGTTACAATGTAAACAATCCCCAACCCTGAAATCACTGGAAATAATAATGATATTACAGGGTTGAAAAGGTGAAATCAAATTTCACCAGTCGTGATTCTCAATCAACATTACTTCCGTTTGTTTCCCACTATGATATTTTATTCACCTTAACATACAATATTCTTGTATTCAATTAACATAATCTATACTCAGCATGATATACAACATGTGGTTTCTGATAATTCTGACTAATTTTCATATCAGTATGAAGTTGTGGAGATGGTTAAGTTTATGATTACAAATTATGAATTGATTGATGTTAGACCACCATTGAAAACCAGGAAGCACTGGATTGATTTTATTCTGATAAATATTCGAAATGAGTGAGCGATGAATATGTGATGAGTGTATTATCGATTAGGATGGTTGTAATGTTTTTGAGTTTAATAAATCTTCATTTGTATCAGTGTTGGTGTACATACATTGCGTCGTGAGAATTGTAGTGGTTCTTTGTTTGTTTGTTTTGTCAAGTATAAGTAATAAGTTCGATGGAGGTTCTTGGTGGGCGACCGTTTTCTCATCCACTAGGTAATGTACTGAACATTCTGAAAACCTTCAATTCCCCTCAACCGACACTTTAATAATTCATTATATCATGAATATATTCAGTATGCACCCGCAACTTTTGAACGAATACATTTTCAAGGTCATTTAAGAGTTGTTCAAAAGTCGTCCATGAATTATGGTCTCATCATTTTTATTATGCACCTTTTGTAACCGGTTAAAGTTAAAACGTATGTCACAAAAACTGACCATTGAAATTTACGACATAGGGATCACTGTTAATCGTATAATATCAACATACTTTAAGGACGCATTTGAAGAAAATCTCAGCCTATGCTCCATTGGGAGTAACAGGAGAAAGTAAGTAAGTGACGTAACATGAATCCAAATTATTTTGTTACGGTCATCGTTTAGATTTAGCAAATGATTACTAGACGTGCTATCTCTATGAATTATATATCTTCATAAATGAATTAAATTTCTCAGCAGTGCTCATCCATGATCTCGCATCGCGAGATTTAAAACCAGGACACAGGTTCGAATTTCGAGAGGCGAAGTCGTGGACGCGCACTACTGAGAAGTCCCACAATAGGACGAAACGGCCGTCCATGGCTTGCAGGTTTTCACTCATGGTCTAGCTTCAATTGACTCATACCTTCAACTATGAAAATGCTAAATCTCTACAAAAACCCCTTTTGATAATTAAATTTCTACCTAAATGCTAAGTATACAATAATCTTCTTGTTTGAACTAGCTAAATGACTTCATATTCAGTAATGGAAACGTATGAGCATGTTATAAAGCACAACTTTGGTTTAAGTCAAAAATCACCACTTAGCAATATGTTTTTCTATTAATTATAGATATACTTTTATTCTGTGTTCTAATCTCTCTTCCTTCCTTTTTTTCTCCCTCGCTTCCTCCCTTCCTTCCTTCCTCTTTCCCTCCCTTTCTTTCTTTCTTTCTTTCTTTCTTTCTTTCTTTCTTCTTCTCCCACTATTAATATTCTTGCTATTATTATTACTTGAAAATCGTTAGACAAAGATAACTCATTTTCTATGCTAATAAAATTGTACAAAAACATACATTGTATCATAAAATGTTTGAGAACTACTCAACCAGATGATACTTAGAACTTGATAACAAATTACATTTGTAAACAAAGATGGATAGTGACTAGCAGTGGAATCCAGGACACGCGTTTCGTCCTATTTAGGACTCGTGAGCTGAATGGATTCCACCACTAGCAACTATCCATCTTCATTAACAATGATTGTGAATTAAGGCTATATAGAGGCAATACACACAGTATGTACATATGCCAATGAGTAACTGACCAGTTGCAGTCCTAAACATCAATGGAAAAATTCAAACAAACAATACTAATTGAATTTAAACTTCACTCCATTGCACAAGCAAGTGGCTATCAGGACTCAGTGGCCGAGTAGATAACGCGATGGCGTTTGAAGCGAAAGTTATTGGGTTCGAATCCCAGAGTGAACATCAACTCTGAGATGCAGGTACATCCAGCTGACGAGTCCCAAAATAGGACGAAACGCGCGTCCTGGATTCCACTGCTAGCCACTATCCATCTTTGCTAACCATGCTTGTGAATTAAGGTATATCGAGGCAATACGCACAGTATGCACATATGCCAATTAGAGACTGACCAGTTGCAGTCTTAACAAATCGATGGGAAGATTCAAACAAACAATACTAAGTTGTATTTAAACTTCACCCCATCGCACAAGCAAGTGGCTATCAGGACTGAGTGGCTGAGTGGATAACGCGATGGCGTTTGAAGTGAAAGGTATTGGGTTCGAATCCCAGAGTGAACATCAACTCTGAGATGCAGGTACATCAAACTGACAAGTCCCAAATAGGATGAAACACGCGTCCTGGATTCCACTGCTAGCCACTATCCATCTTTGCTAACCATGCTTGTGAATTTAGGCTATATCGAGGCAATACGCACAATATGCACATATGTCAATTAGAGACTAACCAGTTGCAATCCTAAACATCGATGGGAAGATTCAAACTTACATTTGTTAGATTGTCTTTTTCATAATACTCCTTCCATCGATGAAAACCATTACTTTGAGTGATATTCCAATCTTCTCCATTAATTTTCACATCATATTGCATTGATTTAAATGCTCTATTCAATTGTCTAAGCCAATGCAATTGCCAGTCAACAGCTCTCCATGTCGTAACTGATATAGTACTTTCATATGTATAATATCGACATCTTGGATGACACAGAGTAGATTCGTACTGACTTTTGACTGTTACATTTAAAGGACCACTTGTAAGACACTGGATACGTTTAGCTAGTGCCAATATATCAAAATCACCTTCTAGTATTGAACCACAATATGGAAGATTACTTGAAGGGTATTGTGGTCTTGGATTGTATATATACTGACATCCACATTCTTTAATAATATCTTTTTGTTGATGAAACAATATACACTGGGACTGAGTATATCTATAGGAAACGTTTAAATCATTATAAGCGTATGCAAAATCTAATCCAGTTAATCGAGGTAATTTGTGATCAGTGATGCTAGCCAATTCTGGATTACTATCAATAAACTCGGCACGACATGGATTTTGTGGTGTATTAAGTCTTTTCCATAAAACTGGCTGATAATTGATTTCATTTAGCTTCCCTGGTTCAACATGCAATCCTTCTCGTTCTAAATCTGGATATGTTCCAGGTTCATGTACAACAACACTAAAAATTAAGACATTTATAATATCATTATTACTACTTGCAAAGTCAAATTTTATTGACAAGAAATAGATTTGTAAAACGGAAGATAAACTCACTAGTTGATGGACTCCCTCTATTTGACAATCATGATATGATTATTTAGAAATTCCCATCATATTCAAAGACTTATATATGGTCAGAGCAATCTCACCATAGGACGAAACGGTCGTCCAGTGCTTCCTGGTTTTCCATGGTGGTCTAGCTTCAATTGACTTATGATTTCAACTATGAAAATATTAATATATAAACGAAGAATATTCTTTTCAATAAATGCTCTTCAAGTTCTACAATTATATATTCAAATTAATAATCGAAAAAGTGACCAGGTTTAGGGTAAAATGCATGGTTTAATGGTATAGCGCGTGAATTTAGGATTTTAAATCAGCTTATACATCATGTGAAATTATAAAAGTGTGAGACAGTTATCCATTGAAGACAATGGAAGATGGTCGCGTAATATGGTGGATTGGTTGAAGTTAGAAATTAACACTCTTGAATGCTAAGTCAGTGATCTAGAGGTTAAGAGTTCTCGTGAGCGACCGAATTTGCTGGGTTGGGATTCCGATGCAGGATGAGGGATGCGCACTTCTGATGAGTCCCATACTAGGAAAGAACGGCGGTTCAGTGCTTGCAGGTTTTCAATCGTTGCCTTACATTGATTGATTGATGATCTCAATTGAAATTATAAGATTCATGATCAGAATCAATATGGAACAAATCGAGTGAGAGGAATAATAGTGTAATTATAAATTCGATCATATGTCTAATGGAAGACCATAATGAGTAAATATTTTGTAGGAAATTAATAGGGAATAATCAAATAAGATGAGCGTTAAGTAAATGAATCATATATTCACGAGAATAATAATAATGATGTTAAACCAATGATAATACAAAGAAAGAATGTAAGTACATTAGTCAAATTAGGTGATTTAATAGCTGAAATTACCATTGATTAATTGACCCTGAGGCTGGCGAAGGCAAGAGAAGTGGTCAAAGATATTTGCAGTTTTAGAAAACATTAGACTACAGCTTAAATAAAACAAGATCAATACGATTGGCAGAATACAATGATTGTGGAGATTATTAAGTTTATGATTACAAATTATGAATTGATTGATGTTAGACCACCATTGAAAACCAGGAAGCACTGGATTGATTATATTCTGATAAATATTCGAAATGAGTGAGCAATGAATATATGATGAGTGTATTATCGATTAGGATGGTTGTAATGTTTTTGAGTTTAATAAACCTTCATTTGTATCAGTGTTGGTGTACATACATTGCGTCGTGAGAATTGAAATGGTTCTTTGATTATTGTACGTTGACAAGACACCATCAGTAACAGCCTACTATGGGAAAGAATTGACCAACTTCTATCTAAAGAGAAATCTTGTAAAGGACGTTGGAAGTGGATAGAACATAAGTCGGGGAAAACATCAAACTGCATCACAATGCAAAGCACCAACTTGGAATCCTAAACGGAAGAGCAAAGTTGGAAGATCAAAGAACATACTGAGTTGAGAATTGCAAGCAGACATCAGAAGAATGATTAGCAACTGGAAACAACTGGAAAGGATTACTGAGGACAGCGTTGGATGGCGAATGCTGATGAGCGGCTTATGCCCCTCCATGGGGTGACGGGAGTAAGTAAGTTTTGAGTCGTGGTTGAATAAGATACAATAGTCAACTAGTCTGTTTTCTCTTTACGCCTTCATGTTAGGTACTATTTATGAAAGAACTCGAGAGTCAATACGTTCTAAAGTCTCAGATGTTGTTGATTTGCGTGTGAACTGGCAAATAGGCCACCGATTGTATTGGTGATATAGGTGAACTTATCGAAATTCTGAGTGATTAATATAACAAGTTATATCCATTAGTGTTATATCATCTCTCCAACACTTAATTTTGTTTACGGTTTGTTTTGTCAAGCTCTTATTTACACAGTGTTATTCGAACAGGAACAATTTGTATATTCTTGGACAATTACCATTTCTGTTTGAAAGCGTATGCTTAATCACATGTTACAGCTTACTTACTTATCCCTCCCTCTAGCTCATACGTTGTTTGCTTAAATCGCTCGATGACTATATATATTCAGTAATCCCATATTACACATTAAGGTGAGTTTCTGGAAAACAGAAGAAAAACATGCGAAACTATATATTGCACCGTTATGAAGGTACTTTATTGTTATAATGAGGAGAGTTAAATCACGTGCAGCAATTTCAGGGGAAAGTCTTGGTCAGGTTTTGCAAGTTGCTTCTCAGTGTGTTTGTGGATAATTCTGTCGTCAGTTTACCATAACCCTCCAAACTCTTTTTTTCTAAGTCAATAATTTAGTTTATTGTGTATCTAAAACTTTTTAACTTTTACGTCAGTCTAACTGAAGTAATGTTAGATAATTATAGGTCATCAAAATGCTCTGCGCTTGGTTATTGAATGAATTACATGCTAGTTTTTCTTAGAGTATTTCATATTATTACCTTCTATCCTTCTGCTTCTATAAAAAAATTTTCACTGAAAGCCTAACGTTCTTAAAATACACAATAATAATATCATTAGTGTTTGTAAAATAATCTTTATTTTATTCTAGTCACTGTAACTCACTAACAGACATTACAAATCCCATTCTGTAATTGTTGTTATTGGTAGAGGGGATTCGAACCCAAGAGCTTCAATCTTGTGCATGAATACCCAATCTTTCTTAGTAAATGTGAGATCCAGTATTTTCAATGTCTAACAGTAATTCATTTTAATGAGAAGGGATTTTGTGGAGATTTTAGTATTTTTATGGTTGAAATCATGAGTCATTTGAAGCTAGACCACCATGGTAGACCTGGAATCACTGGAAAGCCGTTTCGTTTTACTGTGGGACTCCTCAGCAGTGCGCATCCCTGATCCTGCCTCGTGAGATTCGAACCAAGGACCTACCAGTCTCGCGCAAGAGCACTTAGTTCTTCGGCAGAGCTTTCTGTGTATGGTTCATGTTGTTATGAAAAAAACCTAGGAGGATTAGAGCTTAAAGATTGTCGTGAAAAATGACTATTGGCCTTAGTTCATTGTGTTTAGTTATTTTGAGTTCTAGTGGGAAGCAGTGACCAGTGGAGTTCAACCACGTCTGTTGTTGAAATATCAACTCACTGAAGACAATTGGTGAACGGTTGCTCAAACTTCGTCGATTAGTTAATGTCAGACATTAATATAGTTAAATGCCAGCCGGCTTAGTGGTCTATCGGTTAATTGCTCTGGAGCGAGACTGGTAGATCATGGGTTCGAATCTCGCGAGCCGGGATCGTGGATGCTCACTGCTGAGGAGTTTCACAATAGAACGTAACGGCCGTCCAGTGCTTTCGAGTTTTCTATGGTACCCTATCTTCAATCGACAACAATAAAGAATAAAATTCAAGTATAATTATCGAAATGAAAAACAGACATTATACAATAGCCAAAATCTAAATTCAATGAATTAAATTGTTGCTTTATAGTCAATTGAATCAAGTAACACCCATTACAATCAAACAAAATCAAGTCATATACCCTTTTAATTTTTTTCTTTCTGGAACCAGCTTGTTTTAACGCTACACTTTAGCTCATACTATAGACATTTAGAAAGAAGTTTAACTGTAATATGGTCTGTTGATTTTGATACAATTAAATGAGATCATAAATATTTTTTTCATTAATTTAGGAAAAGTACCTATATAATTGAAATTTCTGTAATAAATCAAGTGTAATATTGATTTTGTCAGGTTGATTAATCTTTGTCTGGTGTTATATCTTGAGGAGAATTATGAATGGTCACTTTTGAGGACTATTTATGAACCAAATGTGATATGTATATTTCCTATTGTATAGTTGTTAAGTAACTAAACTATTCATATTCATGCTCCTCTAATTATGAGCTGTATTTTGACCCATTGACTATTATTATACAATTTACCATTCTTGAGTTATCCCCAGTCTATTGATTACTGTTCCCCCAATTCACAGCCACATTTGACTAAATCTTGTACAAATGTTATTTTCTATATTATTGGTACGATGTGGTCAGTTTGATTGGTATATAAACTCATTATGTTTGAAGTATAACGATTTGTACCGCAGAGGCTGTTATTAGTATTCTGGACTTAGCTAACTAGGCTAGGCAGATAGCAGGATCGATAAGTACTCTAGACAAGTTTTATGTGTCACTGGTTCGATCAATAAATCATTGCTCTTTAATAGGCGGGTACAAGATAATAACAATTGCCAGCACAAGTTATAAAAATTGGTGACGGGGATTGGATATGTTCTGCTTCTTCAAATTCACCTGTGGATCGTCCTCACACATCCCCCCTTTTAAAGTCTGTTGTGTAAGACGTTTTTCTTGGAACCACCTGAAACTTAGTAACCACATTCCTCTTGCGGCTCATTACTCTGGAAGGTTGTAAAGCTTTGCCCTTGCGTAGTTTATCCGTTCTACATTCGCGCGCCTGAGGGTTTTTTGGAGATGAATCCACGAGCAATTGAAACGGGAGTCGGCTTTGTAGGATCAGTGTTTTGCCGCCTTTTCGAATTTGATTTAAATGTCCTATACACGTTCCGACATTTCTCATGATTGGGTACAGTACACTTCCAATCCGACGTTCTGTAACATCTGGTTCCCACGTCCTATCACCTTCATACGATTTAACAAATAACCTTTCACCCACCAGGAAGCTACGAGTGACCATACGATACTCATTAATGAGTTCATTTATATTTGATTTCGGGTTCAAGTTCAGGGATGAACATCGATTCTGGGATTTAGGCACATCCAGTTGATAAGCTCCCAATAGAACCAAACTTGTGTCCTGGATTAAACTGCTAGTCACCATTCATCTCTGCTTATAATGCTTGTGACTTAAGACAATAAAAAGGCAATCCACACATGCCAATATGAGATTGGTTAGTTGCAGTCCTAAAAATCAACGGGAAAATTTAAACAACTAATACAAAAATGAATGTTTTATTCATTTTTAAATGCAAAATTCAGTTTAAACTGAGAACGTGAGGATTTGCCAACTCCGCTAGGTGAATTTTCCGTGTTCACCAACCCGGTTCAAGCACTGAACATTCGCTTTTCGTCCCCTCAATTTCATAAACAACAGTAATGCTTCGAGAAGGTAGTAAGTAGGACTTCCCTGTTAGTGGCTATATACGCGTGGCCATGTTAGAGCATTTCGAGAGGGAGAGCTGACTCTCCCCACTCTCTGCCGTACCAAGGCATTTGCGGTTGAGAACTTATTCAAAAGACTTTAAACCATGTTTAACACTTCTTTTCTTCAGTTTTTACCCAGATTATCACATTCGTCACTATTTATGTCCAACTAAACAAACTACCTCCATGTGAATATGATAATGTTGTATAATTTCCACTTAGTAATTAGATTTACTTTCCTCTGATATTTATTTTTGAATGAACATTGTAAAAGAATTCCAAAATAAGTTCTAAAGTGTAACTACCATACAAATCAGTAAGCCGAGATGTTTATCCGTAGCAGAATGGATAATTCGACAAATTTAATCACGATAAACATTACAAAGAGTCATGTTCATTCGATAGATCAAATGACCTCCAGTAGGTCAATATCTATTTGACACTAATGCAATTATAGTAAATAGGTTAAACAATAAGAAATAATCAGATGAGATTGTGCTTTGCCTGTATGAAAACTAATTTACCTAATCGACTTTGATCAACTGTAAGATAATCAAATTTATATCGACAAGTAAAGGAAAGAATTTTACAACAAATATTTATTATTTGATGCTTCTAAGATGCGTTTATCTGTAATACTTATTATAACGATTATAAACGACCGTTTCGCTGTATTTTGGGACTGCTCAGCAGCTGAGGAGTCCCAAAATACGGCGAAACGACCGTCAAGTACTTCCAGGTTTTCCTTGGTGGTCAAGCTTCAATTGACTCATGATATCAAATATGAAAATATAAAATCTCCATAAAATCCCTTCTGATTATAAACTAACCGCTTCACAATGTTTTAGCTACATGATGATTTTATACAGGATAAATTTCGTCCAATTTTAGTTGGGAATACTTAGTCTTTAGGATTAAACATTCATTAATGAAACTGATATGGATTCTTACAGAGAGTAACAAGTGGATTGTTTTGTAAAATAAACGAACTCGACTATGTGTTTTAGTGGCTAAACTGTACGGCGTCTACTCGGTTCGTCGAAAGTAATACCTTTGATACTAGAGGAAGATGTGGCCAGTGTTGCACGTTTTCCAGATGGTATGGTTCTTAGCGAAGGTTGTTAAAGCCGAGGGGATTTTAGATAAATTCTGTACTTGATTACTCATGTCACACCTTGTGGATGGGCGAAGGCCGCCCACCAGGAACCTTCATCGAACTTATTACTTATACTTGACAAAACAAACAAACAAAGAACCAATACAATTCTCAAAACACAAAGTGTGAACACCAACACTGATACAAATGAAGGTTTATTAAACTCAAAACATTACAACCATCCTAATCGATAATACACTCAACATATATTCATTGCTCACTCATTTCGAATATTTATCAGAATAAAATCAATCCAGTGCTTCCTGGTTTTCAATGGTGATCTAACATCAATCGATTCATGATCTTAATCATGAACTTAACCATCTCCATAACCTCATCCTGATATGAAAATTAGTCAGAATTATCAGAAACCACATGTTGTATATCATGCTGAGTATAGATTATGTCAATTGAATACAAGAATATTGTATGTTAAGCTGAATAAAATATCATAGTGGGAAACAAACGGAAGTAATGTTGATTGAGAATCACGACTAGTGAAATTTGATTTCACCTTTTCAACCCGTCATATCATTATTTTTTCCAGTGATTTCAGGATTGGGGGTTGTTTACATTGTAACACTGAATGAATAGGATTTGGCAAATGGATGAATGGTTTTGACTAGATACTATAACGTATGACTTCGTAGAAGGTAAAATAGGTTGATAGGTTGATAGACTGGACTACTAACAACTAACTGGCTACCACTCAATATTTATGGTCGGGATCGATCAAGAAATAAGGAAAGGAAAATTGTTGAAATAATATAATAATATAATATTGAACAAAGCCGATTGATCGGTATCTTATCGGCATAAAGGCATCCTGTGCGTATTGCTTCGACTTTGCCTAAATTCATAAGCACTATAAGCAGAGATAGATGGTGACTAGCGGTGGAATTCAGGACGCTCATTTGATTCAATGGGAATATTCAAGTAAAACAATACGAACTGAATTTAAACTTCACCCTATTGCACAAGCAAGTGGCTATCAGGACTCATTAGCTGAGTAGATAACGTGATGGCGTTTGAAGCAAACGATACTGGGTTCAAGTCCCGGAATGAATATCAACTCTGGGATTCAGGTACATCCAGCTGACGAGCCGCAAATGGGACTTAACGCAAATCCTGCATTCCACTGCTATCCACTATCCATCTTTACTTAAAAGCACATATTCTGCTAAGATCTAATAAATGAAATGCGTTTCAAGATTTTATTCATATGCCCAGACCATTATGGATTGAAAATAGCACAATGATTACATAATACTTGTTTTATGTTAAAGGTAACTGAATCAGTTATTTGATGCAATAATTATCAGATTAATCTATGAAGTAAGAATAAATAGTTAAGATCTACAACAAGAATCATTTCTCTTCATTGTAAAGATTTTCCAAGTTTTGTTAGCTTTTAACTAATCTTAAATTGTATATGTGTAAGGTTCTATATTCAACAAACAAGCATTAATCTCATTCAATAAGGTGAATACAAACAGTTAAGGAACTTAGTGTATGTAACTGAATTCAATTTGGTAATTCTCAAACAACAGTCTAACTGACTTATTAAAGAAAATATTTTTTTTTAAAAAAGGAAGATATTACTCCTGTTAACCACGCATGAATAAATTGCTATTGAATTTAATTAATGTTAAGTGGTTTTGAATAAATGAAGTCTATGTTACACTCTAGTAGTCACTTAATCAATAACGAGTTCTTGGATGGATGTATTAGATTATGACTAGTTATTCTTAATAAGTATTCTGAATATCTATGCAACGACAATTATATCTTGCTTTATTGCTGTTGATTTGGTATAATAAAGAAATCCTAATCTAAACTTTCCCTTAATCATTAGCTACATTCCAAAAGGTAAGGATATGTACAATTGATAATATCTTTAAAAAAGGTGATCAATTATTACCTATTTTTAGCTTCTAAAATTTTTGGTCAATGCAGCTTAACAATTTTTCTATTACATCTAAGCAATAAAGTAGGGTAGAGCTTCTGTTGTGAGATAACAACTCACTGAAGACAATCAGTGAACGGTTGCTAAAACTTCATGGGTTGGTTGAAGTTAGACATTACCACCGTTGGATGTCAACCCGCACAGTTATCTATCGGTTAAGTGCTCTGGTGCGAGACTGGTAGGTCCTGGGTTCGAATCTCTCGAGAGCGGGATCATGGATGCGCACTGCTAAGAAGTTCCATAATAGGATGAAACGGCCGTCCACTGCTTCCAGGTTTTTGATGGTGCTCTAGATTCAATTGATTCATGATCTCAACTCCATAAAATATGAAATTATGCAATTTATGATGTTCATTTTACATACACTTAGACTTTCTGAAAATATTTTTACTTTTGGATAAACAACAACTCTAGGAAGTAAGCACATACACTTTACTAGACCCAGGTTGAACGAAACGCAAGTTCTGGATACTACTACTAGTCACAATCCATCTCTATTTAAAAGTTAATGACAAAAATGATAAACTGGTCAATAGTCAAGTATGAGCTCTAGACTTACACTTTATAATGATATACTCTTTCAAATGTTGTATGCAACAATGATGAATAAAGCTTCTTTTTCACATTTACTTCACTGTATAGTTGTCATCAGATTGATAGAAATCTTAAACCACGACTATTATTCTCAGTTATTATCATGGTATAGAAAACAAACTTGATCACATGTAAAGTTTCATGAAAACTGTAAAAGGTAATTGCACACATGGAATTTATGGTAGAATTCAGTGAAAATATACAAAAAAAGAATGTCGTTTTGCTTTAGGGAAAAATGTATCTTCTAAGAAATAATGTTTCTTTATTAATTAAAGTGAAAAGTGGATAAGACTTTTTCATCCCTTTAGGCATCTTATATAGTCGATATACAATGGTTGATGATTACTTGTTAAACTGACACCAAACGATAATGATAATGAACATTTAATTTATGGAGATATTTTATAAAATAAGATAAGGTGAAGACATAAATAAATTTTATATAGTTAAGATCATAAGTCAATTGAAGCTAAACCACTATGGAAAATTTTGAAGAACCGGACGGCCGTTTCGTCCTATTGTGGGACTCATCAGCATTTCGCATCCAGTCAGAGCACTTAACCGATAAATGATATATTTGTAATATCTCAATGTGTAGAAAAATTAAATTTTCTGACGTTTCGTCACTTAGTGTAAGCTACTTCTTCAGAGAATAACAATCTACACTATGCTCAATTTATTCAAAATTAAAGTGAAGATATTATAAGCAAAGATGGACGAAACGCTAGATCCCCATGGAAAACTTGGAAGCACTGGAAGACCGTTTCGTCCTATTGTGGAACTTCTCCACAAAACTGCCTTCTGATGATAAGGTATTTATTTTATCTCTAATTTAATAAAACTATTATTCAGTTAACTTACCGTAATCCCCTTGCCATTTCAAATAAATCCACAAGAAATGCTTGTTCTTGATTACTATAATTTGGATCTGTACCTAAACTAACAATCAATGCAATTGTATCTGTATCTTCTGCTTCAACTTTTGTTTTTGGTTCAAATGTATGACAATTAAAATATGTATGATGACTAAATTTACGTATTTGAAATCCGTCCATATGCATACAATTATCTTCAATTTGCATAGTATGATTAACCCGTCGCATACAATTCAAGAAAGCAGTTGTATCATGTCCTAAACGATAAGCATCAATTGCTTTTAAATTTTGATAATAGATTGATAAACTATCATACTGATAAAGAGTTTCCGCTGCATCGACATCATTATCCATTAAAAATTTATGTGTTAAATTACGCATATGCTTGTTAAATATACTTGGTGACATGACATCACCATTACGCCATAAATGATAAGCATTCTGTGAAAATGGATGATGATGACAGATGGTTAATGCTGGAAATGGTGATTTAGCATCTAATTCAACGTGTATATTTACTGAAACATCATAAACTAAATAATCTTGTACTAAAAGATAAGTTGTCAATAATAAACCAACAGTCATAATTAATACAAAACAAAACCATAAACCTCGTAGAAATGGTGGTCCACGTCTCATTCGTGCAACACCTCTTATAGAGAATGTATCACATATGATCTCTAAGATACTGAGTTTTTTTACTACTTTAGAAGGCTCTTTCATTTGAATGATATGTGGACAGTTGTAGGCTAATTTATCAGTAACTGAACGTTGATCATTCATTAGTGTGTTATGTGAATTATTATTATTCTCTAATGGTAGCATGTTTTATCATCAAACGGCATAACAAAACCGGGAGCATTAGGAATACCTGCAATAGAAACAAACACGATGTTATTGTAAGACAATTTATTTGATCAATTATATTTAGTCTGGAAAACTCTCGAAATCTTATAAGCAGTACATTGAAATATTCACTGTAGTGTCCATAAAATTCGGCAATCAATAATATAAATTCCACAAAAAGCAATGAATACTGAGTAGTCACACAATAGGACGAAACGGCCGTCCAGTGTTTCCAGGTTTTCTTTGATCGTCTAGCTTCAATCGACTCATGATTTCAACTATGAAATTACTGAAAACTCTACAAAAAACCCTTCTGATTATAATCATATGCTCACTGGTGACTGACTTCAAGAGATAATGCCTAGAGTTCTAGTGAGAAGCAGTGACCACTGATGACAATTGGTGAACGGTTGCTCAGCTTCATGGATTGGTTGAAGTTATACATTACCACAATCCGATGCTGGCTGTCTCAGTGGTCTGTAGGTTAGGTGTTCTGGCGCGAGACTGGTAGGTTGTGGATTCGAATCTCTTGAGGCGAGATCGTGAATGCGCACTGCTTAGGAGTCTCACAATAGAACCAAACGGCTGTCCAGTGCTTTTAGGTTTTTCTTTGTGGTCTAGCTTCAATTGACTCATGCTTTCAACTATGAAAATCAATACGTGTTCTTCATAACTTCCTTTTTAAGGGTATATTAATTTTAAATTGTTATCAGTGTATTATAGTTGCTAAGTGTAGAAATAGCAAAAAAAATGCTGTTATGGATGAATTAACTGAAGCGTGTTTAAAATTTCAATGATGGATAATATCGGATACTAAGTAGTTCATTACACGTAACTACTTACAAAATGAGTGATCTGTAAATTTTGATTAGGACAATTATGGGGAAGACTAAAATTCAATGTATTGAGAAATGGTTGTGTACTAGTTAGGGAAAAAATTATTTAATCAGGTGATTTTTAGTCAATAGATATCAAAATTCATTTAACTAGAAAGCAAAATAGGGGGAACGTTGTTTCGTAATAACTATGATAGTGATATTATTATTATGTTGGGTAGTAAGAAAGAGAATTCATAGTAAAATACTTTGTAGACAAAGAAATTGGAGTGAATAGGTTAACGACAATAGCCTTTCAATAAAAAAACTAGACTAGTTGAAAAATGTTTCTGTGAGTGGTACGACACCTATAAATAATGTTGCTGTGGTTGTTAAGAGGTGCATCGGCCTCGTGACTTCCGAAAAATCTCGACTTTCATCATGAGACGTCTTAATTATTCCTTCAACTTGGAGGGCAGAGTTTGAATGATTTTTTCTGGTTAGCGCTTTTTTAGCGAGTTAGGGTCTATAACCTCATGCCCAACCCTCCTCCTTTACACGGGCATGGGACCGGCAGTAACTCTGAAAGTTCTACAGGCGGATACTATCAGCAACAGCGTTTTATGGGAGAGGACAAACCAGATTCTAGCTGAACAGAAAATTAGGAAAAGACGTTGGGAGTGGATGGGACATAAATTAAGGAAATAACCAAACTGCATCACGAAGCAAGCCTTAAGTTGGGATGGTGAAGGGATTAGGAAAAGAGGAAGGCCAAAGAACATATTACGTCGGGAAATGGAAGCAGATATGAAAAGGATGAATGTTAACTGGAAAGGATTGCCCAGGACAGAGTTGGATGGAGAATGCTGGTGGTCGGCCTATGCTCCTCCTTGAGAACTAACAGGTGTAAGTAAGTAAGTAAGTAATCATGACACCTATTAAACTAAGAGTAAGCATATAAAGAAATTTTTATGCATATAAATCAGACGTTATTGAATTGATTCGGTTAATGACTTTCGATATTGCGTTCTCCCATGAATTCCACCAAACGTTATTTAACAAATAAATTAATATATGGTTCACAGTATGAATTAACAACAATTAAAGACGTAATCAAAAATAGTAGGTACTTGACATCTGTTTCATCCCAGGAGTGTACATTTACGACCTCACCGTTGGGAATCGAACTCAGACTCAACATCGATAAACAAACAGAAATCGATTCAGACGTAAAAATCCCTACAGTTGAAAAACATATGGAACGTAAAATAACTGTCTATAAGCCAACATGAAAGTCAGAATCTTCAATACGAACGTCAGGATAGTTCTATTGTACGGAATTGAAACTTGGAGAACTACTACAACCATTATTAAAAACGTACGAGTATTTACTATCATTTGTCTACTGAAGATAATTGATGTACATTGACCAGATACCATCAGCAACAGCCCACTGTTGAATAGAAAATTAGGAAAAGAATTGGGCATTGGATAGGAAATCATCAAACTGTATCACGAGGCATGTGCTAACTTGGGATCTTGAAGAGAAACAGAAAAGAGGAAGATCACGGAACACATTGCATCCAGAATTGGATGCAGACGTCAAAAATATGAATAGCGACTGTAAACAACTGGAAAAGTGTGCTGAGAACGGAGTTGAATGGAGAATGCTAGTGAGCAGCCTATGCTCTTCCATGAAGGGTAATAGGAGTAAGTAAGTTTGTAGGTAATTTCATATTTATGTCCATAAAATTCATCTGTTAAGTCTATACAGTGAAAGTGCATTGTATAGTTTAGAGGCAGCTTTTTCATGTACAATAATTAAATTAAATTTTGTACTTCTGTCCTACTATTCAAGTGTGTATGGAATGAATCATTTGTATAGGTGAACTATTGCTAAATAATAGTGTTATATCTAGGTATATTTGGCGCTTATCTACTGATCTAATTTATGTCACTACGTTCATGAGTAGAGACACATGGTCTCACGGAACGCCTTTAAATTAAAATGTGCTAGTTTTCATTGGCTGATCAGTATTTTTACTATTTAGCGATACAAATATTTTGTTAATCAAAATTAGGGTCTGCATCCTCAAACTTTTACATATCTGGGCAGCATCATTGATATGATGAACAAGTGAGAGTCAGTATAAGCAAAGCAAGAGCAGCATATCTACAATTGACGAACATATGAAAGTCTAAACAACTATCAGTCAACACCAAGATCAAAATTTTCAATACGAATGTCAAGACAGTTCTACTGCATGGTACGGAAACCTGGAGAACTACGAAAGTCATCATCTAAAAAATACTGGTGTTTATTAACAGTTGACTACGCAAGATACTTTGGATCCGTTGACCAGACAATATCAGCAACAAGCTACTGTGGGAGAGAAAAAACCATATTCCAGTGGAAGAAGAAATCAGAAAGAAGCACTAGAGGTGGATAGGACATAGATTGACAAAAGCACCCAACAACTCTTCAGTATAGCAAATAACTTTCTCAGTAGTACAAAGTCTCTGTAAAACATTTCGAAATTCGCTTCTGCTCCCAATTAAATCTATGGTGAAACGTACCATCCAACGAAGATTAACCTAATCTACTTTCTTTTCAACTGTCATACTTTTGTAACCCTGTTGTTTGTAACTTACAATATTTTTTTTCTGCCATTGTTGAGTTAATACACACAGTTTTACACTTAAAATAATGATAATTAACGACCTAACATATTTACAGGTCAATCATTATTAAACTGTATTGTATCGACTACTTTACAACATTCGAATTATTATCCTGCTTAAGTGTGTTCATGCAATCAAGACAATTTCACGTATGCAAACTACTGGGATATATGATATAATATACATGAATTTATAAATGAAAGAGTATTCATACAGTTATTGGGAATAATAATCCAATCAAACAATATTTATTTACAAACAATGATGGATGGTAGCTAACAGTGAAATGCGGAACTCGCGTTTCGTCCCATTTGGGAGTCGTCAGATAGTTGCACTTACATCTCAGATTTGATGTTCACTCTGGGACTCCAATCCAGTACCGTTCGCTTCAAACGCCATCGTGTTATTCACTCAGCCACTGAGTCCTGATAGCGATTGCTTTCAAAGAAAACATCAAGTCTGGGATGCAGTTGCGTTCAGTTGATGAGTCTTAAATAGGACGAAATGTACGTCCTAGATTCCACTGCTTGCCATTATTCATCATTGCTTATAACTAGTACAATATTTTATGAATTCATTGGAATATTTTCTTTCAAAACAAATGCCAAAAATTCTTGTCGATCAGTTTTCTCATTGATCAATATTATCAGCATAAATATAGTTAAACATTGGGGGGGAGGGGGTTTGAGGGAAATAGATATTACTCAAAATAAACAAAAATATTTTGGTTAAAACATTTTTTTAAAGTAGGAAGTTAAACACTTAATTAAGTTTATACTCATAACGATGATTACCCCCCCCCCCAATAAACTTTCTAATTTAATTGCTTGACTAACCCAATAATTATCAATGTTCACTGGTTAAATCTACTAAACTGAGATCAGTTTGAAAAGTATAATTGTAGAGTTAAGGAAATTGTAAACAAAATACAATGTATTCAATGATTAGAAGTAACTTTAAGTAAACATTATTTCAGATTGTGAATAATGATGAAATTGATCGACTTGCTATTAGTGTCCATGGAAAGAGGATCATCAGTATGGGTGATATGATTCTAAACAGTGTAAAACTGTTTCTAAATTGAACTCTAAGTAGAATGTTGAAAGTTTAAATATGGTAAGATGAATTTGAGAAATTTATTTTCATAGTTGAAATCATGAGTCAATTGAAGCTAGACTACCATGGTACACCTGGAAGCACTGGAAGGCCGTTTCATGTCGCCTCGCGAGATTCGAAATTAGGACCTACCAGTCTCTAGCGCGAGCACTAGTGAGCACATGATTATAAACAGAAGTTTATGTGCTCTGGCGTGAGAGTTGTAGGTTCTGGGTTCGAATCTCGCGAGGCGAGATGAAACAGCCTTCCATTTCTTCCAGATTTTCCTTGGAGGTCTAGCTTCAATCGACTCGTGATTTTAACTATGAAAATGCTGAAATCTCCACAAAACCCCTTCTGATTAAATAGATTTTCGGCATTATACCTGATGTCAGTTCGTGATGTAGAAAAACCTAAATCTAATTCCTATTCT